CATTTTAAGTTTGGGGGGCAAAGTGAGATTTGAATGAAGTTTCAAGGGGTATTAGTGTAATTAAGCCTTATATTAATGACATAACTAGGGGTAAAATCCTGCCAAGGGACGCATGTCGCTTGCTGGGCAATGAGTCGTCGCCATCCAATAGGTGCTGTTCAACTTGGTTGATTTCTTTTCTTTTTTTCAAACATAATGGCTAGAAGATCCAACGACTGATATTAAAACTTGGCTGGATCATTGGAGAAAAAAATATTCAACAGCTGAAGTTAAAATCTAATGGTTAAAATAAATAAATAAAATATTCTAAATCAGATTTAACTCCAAAACATGTTTGTATCATATCTGACCAAGTAACTAGAAGCAAATCTAAGAGCATCTCCAACCGATATGTCAAAAGTGCCACATAGACATTTAACAGCTAGAAATAACATCTCACACACTCCAACCGATGTGTCAAAGCTGATGTGGAATGAAGGCTGAAGATTGAGATGTTATTTTTGACATCCCAAAAGCAAGATGTCAAATGAATATTTTATTATTTTTTCTTTTCTATTCTTTTTAATTAAAAATAAATCAACACTAAAATGTAATAAAATAATAATTTAATTTGACATATTGGGTGGAGTGTAAAGCTGTGTAAGATGTCAAATTGCCACATCAGCCATCAAATTTAAATTTGATGTTTGGTATTTGACATCTCCCTTGGAGATGCTCTAAGTAAGGCAAATGGTCTCACATTGGAATATTACAAGATGTGTAGACTCCCTCTCACCTATAAAAGAAGACTACTCTTCGCTTAGGGATGGATCCCTAGGCTGGGCTTGATCTTTAGTCATGGGCTTCTCCCTTCTCCCATTTATATTTGGGCCCAACCTATGTACAAATGTAAATACACATTATTATAAGAATGAGAATATACTTCTTCGTGGACGTAGCCCATTTATTAAAGGTGAACTATGTATATCTTGTCTTCTATATATTTATCGCTTGCCGAAATCTTCACACACATGTTGAAGGTCCTCCCTCATCTTTACTTATCATCCATCACACCTCATCTCTAAGTTGGACTCAATCTTGACCATCCATTTTGAAGCATCAACATAAATTAATAAAATATATTATTTTAATTATCATATTATTTTCGTACCAGATAGGAAAAATTAACTTAAAAGTTAGCCCTAGTAATTTTTAAATTATGAGTCCGTACCTAATTACGGGCATTCTTCTCTATTATATTAGGTTATACTCTAACTCCATGACATATTTGTATCCCGGGACTTGGGAGACTTTTAATTGAGTCAGGTCCAATGAATGGAAATTAAGATTTAAAAATGAAAAAAGAAGTAGCTAAACCCCACGGCCAGCCATACCCACACACACGTACTCTCACAAGGAACCCCAATCCCCCACCTATCATCTCCCCATACCCACTCGTCCTCCTCTCACTGTGACCCCCCACCCCCAAAGTCATCAGACGACTAAGAAGCTGTATTTATGTTTGAATGAAGGCATTTGCATTTTAAACCCACTTAATTAAAACCCATATTGGATCAGTCTACGTTTCTCCATTTTTCTTAACCCAATGGGCTTGGATCAGGTTGGTTTACAAGTCCAGGTCACACTGACCCAACTCACAATTCTTACATTTCGTGAGTCATTCTATAGTTAGGGCCATAAATGTCATATCTCTTAATCATTGAATCAAACTAATCAATTTGATCCAACATTTAAGAGATAGAGCCTCATTCACTATAGAATTCTGACTCATTTCATCACTGGTGATAAATTTTGTATCCTCAAAGTCAAAGCACTTATGAAGGAGCGGGCTGCAATTGGTAAACAGTAAAACTAACTCTTCAAGGGTTCCAGTTTTGAAGGTGATTAAATGGACCTCCAATTGGCAAAAAATATTAAATAAGGGATTGGCTTAAATCATCAAACTAGTGGCTTAATTTTTTTTTTTTCCTGCACAATCTTTTGAGACATTGTGCATTTTATTAGAAAACCTTGATGGAAAATAGTTGAAACAGAGATATGTACCCAGCTTGAATAGGAATCTCAAATCTCACTCCAAAATCTCTTTTACATAGGCTAAAAGTATAAGACTGTCTAAACTATAAACAATTGTCATCAGACATCCGACATTGATTGCAGTCATCAGAAATAGCCATGTACACAGGCTAGCTTCAGAGCCCAGCCTTTTCAGATGGTGGTGGCTGAGGGTAAATTACACAGCAGAAACAACCTATTTTTCTTTTCCTCCTTTCCTGGGTTATAACATTATTCTTTACAAACAGTGCTTCAATTGAATGACAACTGATAAAATGAATCAGGATTATCACTAGAATCGGTACATCATCAGTTCAACATATAAATTTCACTTGTTAAATCGTATGTGTACCCTTGAGTGAAACAGTTACCTGCTCAAGTGCTGAGTAGCTATACAACACTACTTGAAACCAATGTGAGGTTCTATTCGACGTTTTCAAGCCAGTGCAAAACCTTTAACAAGGATTCCGAAAGTAATCCTTTGGTCTCCTAGTAAACAAATCAGGCTCTTATAACATGCATTGCACACCTTAAACTATTTGACATAAAAAATGAAGCATGCATCAATTGTGTGCCTCAGCATATCAGCTTTTAGAGTACAAAAGTCCACAATCATATCAGCCAAAACACCCCAGATCATTTTCACAAGTGCATGGGTTAGGCACCCCTAAGCATCTCAATTCTCATAAATCAAGTTATACTTGGTATTATTGCAACGTTATCGGCTTAGTTACTGATTTGTAAAATTTATATACTATAACGTTTCTACGTTTTGTTAACAAAACTTAAACACCAAGTACAGATCAAATTCCCCTGCTAACAAACAAACATATAATAGACACAGAAAAGTACTACTTTTAAAGCATGGTAGAAATTACCGAAGTTAAACTCCAAGTACTGATTAAGAGTTCCCAGCCAAAAATCTTTAACAGACTGGCCAAGCACAGGTCCAAACACAACCACGAATTATCTAGGCTAAAACAGTCTAAACAACGACCTTGACTTCAGTTGGTTATTCACTCAATCCTTTTCCATCCATTCTTAGTTGTTTATAGTTCTAAAAGTCTTTGGCTTTCAACACCATCAACATACAGACTATGTTCTTCTCAATTCGTTAAAACCGTTTCAAAGAAGATAAAGAGTAAATGTTACAAAATTCTGTCAATAATTTTAGATATCAATATAGAAATTATATGCCATGTATTAATCACCACTCTCTTATCTATAACCTCACCTCAAGGCTCGCAAAGAACAACATACCTCCAAATATATAGGGAAAGATCTGGCCCTAACTAGCCAGTGGAAACTCATAGCTAATCTTCCAATCTAAAAAATCTTGTGCATCTTAGTTTTGTTTATCTTTAATTATTTCTTTTCCATAATACGCTTCTGTTGAAATTTTTAAAAGTGAATATACTTTCCAGTAAAAAACCATTCAACCTCTTAAAGCTTCAGAATACCAATTTTTTTATTTTCTCAATTTTGATTTGTTAAAGGGGCCTCTCATAAATATTCTCCTGTAAAAATTGCTTTCTGACTTAAATAAGAGACTCACAGAACAAGGTAATATACGGCACTAAAATCTCCAACTATCTACACAAATAAAGAAAGTAAAGTTCACTAACTGAACAAACATATTTATATATATGGCATATTTAGAAAGTGTTTGAATTCTTAATTATTTACATAAATGAAGTTTACTTTAAATGAAAATAAACAAGTTTGTTTACATAACTAAGCATAAATCTTTCACAGACTAACTAAGAAGTCAAAGATCCAGTATAAACCTAGAAAAAGTGTGCTTAAGTACCCACACAAAATGTCGTGCATGCATGCATGCAGATACATGTTTGAGGTGTGAAGTCTGGAGACAGACAAAAAGTCATTGATGCAAAGCCCAACTATCGACCAGTGAAGGAAACAAAAGCTTAGCTAAGTATAAAGGATTGTAACATGCCACAAGTTTAAATGTTACTCTGAAATCCAAGTTATATAAGACACCAGAAGTAAATGAATTTCTTTGCAGAAGTAAGCTTAAAATCTTTTACAGACTAGCAAAGAAGGCATAGATCCAGTCTAAATCTAGAAAATGTGTGTCTAACCACGCACACAAGATCGCATGCATGTATGCATGCATGCCCAAGTTCGAGGTGTGAAGTCTGGAGACAGACAAAATGTGATTGATGCAAGCCCAACTTGTAACATGTCACAAGGTTAAATGGTAGTCTGACAATCCAAGAACAAGTTATGTATGACACCAGAAAATAATAATTTAAAACCAAAATAAATAAGGAGAAGATGAACTCTCTTTGAGTAATAGCTTGAAAAAAGTTCTAAAACAGAAGCAAGAATTTTATAATTAGGGGGAAGTGAAAAGGTAATCTGCTCAGAACTGTTACTCGTACAGAGCATAATACAAACCTTTTAGTTAAATTACCTAATATAAATCTAAATGTTATCTCATTAATTGCAAAAAAATACAGATAATACTGTGAAGATAGCAACTGGTTAAAGCCTTAAATACGTTCTGCAAATTATACAGTGCAAAGAAATAAATAGTCAAAATTTAAAATATCATAGCACCATGGAAAACTACATCCATCAGAATGCATTCCAAATTTCACAATTCAAATCAAAAAAGGAATTATGATACGAAATTACCGAAGAAAGAACAATTAACCAGAAAATCATGAAAAAACTAGAGATTTACTAGGTCTCACTTCCTGTCCCGAGATGTTTCTGGCGTTGTGGAAAGGAAGAAACCAGTGCAACAGGTTACCATACTCTCACTTGCATTCAACACCGGCTTCAGCAGCTCGACGAGGCTTGTTTTTCCGCCTGCTCCCATTATGCCGAAATCCATTAGACTTAGTTGAGTCATCGGTGCTTGATCGTGTCCCAATACCATTTTCCTCCTTAACCGAATCTGACTTCTCCTTCACCTGTGAGTACCGCTTCCTCTTCTTACCATTCTCTGCCACAGAGGGGCTTTTGATCTCCTTGCTTGCAATACCAGCCTTTCCATTCTCACTGTCATCTGCCTCTATTTTCTCAGTTTCTTCTTCATCAATCTCATCTTTTAAGGGTTTTTGAGGCCTTCCCCTTCTCTTTTGTGCAGGTATTTTTTCTTCCTCGCCACTTCCAGGATCATCATGATTGGTGACAGTCAACCTCTTTCCCTTTCCTCTACCTCTACCCATAATCTCAAAACTCCACAGAAGAAAAGTTCATGCAATAAAAGTTTTCTGCTCCAGAAAGAACACATAAAAGATGTCATTTTCATGTATAGGTACTTATAGGTATAATTTAGAATTGACAAAGAAATTCAACCCCACTAATATCCAGTAAAACACAAGGATAATACAACTTAAAAGCAATCCTAAAAGTATAGATGTGGTGTCTTCTCAAAAGATATACGGATCCCATAATTGATTTTATGTAACATACAAACCAACTAAATAGCTAGACAGTGTACAAAAGGGCGAACCAATAGCATATCAAATCAATGCTGATTCAAGTAAATATATTAAACAGCTACTAGGCAGCAACCACTTCTTCCCATAACCAATGAACTCCGAAATGTAAAGATAGCTCATAATTTAATTATCACATGAAAAAAAATTTAGGAGTTCACAATTGGAGTCTCTTTCTTCTCTCTCTCCCTCATCAATAAAGAAACCCCAGTTTCACCATATTTTATCCCCATTAAAAAGCCACATCTCCTACCCACGTTTGGGTTCCGTTTTCGGACATATATTTGATAAAGCATCTTATGATGAAACATCATATTAAGCATTCTTTTCATTGTCAAGTGAAAACAAAGAAGATCATCACTCTAGGTCCCATAACCCAATTGTTCTGACTCCAAACGATGGTATTCTCAACTTGATAAAGCTAAAGATAAGTAGCCTCAGTTGGGTAAAGATATAAATTTCCATAAGTCCCCCAACCAAGGAAACCTCTAAGATTCAGATCAGTCTTTTGTTTTTGTACAGCAAGAAAATTAGGCATTATGGTAAGTTACATGTCAAAAACCCCCGTAACAGAGCTTCTGTGATTTCAGCCAAATATTTGAAGTTTGTATCACTCTATATAGGGTCTTATATGCCTGGAGACCGATTTAAAAGATGAACAACTACTACAAAGATTCAGATTTTTCAGCCAACAAAATCGAAATTCTTATGGGTTTACTCACAACAGTGAAAACACATCAAAATTAACCATAACTTAAGAGAACTGGATGGAAAGCCGCATCTCCACAAAGACCCGAACTTTGGAATGAAAGTAAGAAACTTTACTATCTGGAAAATCACAGAACTAGAAATCCCAGAAGAGCAACAGAAGAACAGAAAAAAAAAAATGTAACTTTCAAAAACCTAAACAAGCAAGATCCATCAGACAGCATGAATACCATGTATAATGAACTTGATAGAACTGAGCTGACCATCAAAATCATTTCTTTTATCTTATGGCCAGCATCAAAATAATTTCAAATAGCTTCAACCTCCAAATCCCAAATCCATCAAAAATAGAAAGTAATAAAACAGACAATGAAACGCTTATTCCAATCAGAAAATGTAAAGAAAGAGAGAAGAGAGATATGACACTGACCTGGTGTGAGAAAACTGTTAGGTGCATCTTCAACAAAAAACCATCACTTGCAATCTATTCAAGTACTCATATGAGACTCAGAAAAGACCAATAACGATATGGGTTTTCCTCAGTCAGTGGATTTGAAGTACAAGCCGTTCAAAAAATGAAGATTTTAATCGCAAAAACTATGATCTGAAAGAGAAATATTGGAAACCCAGATCAAGAAACTTTGAGATTCGAAGAGATTAAGGATTGGCATGTGAGGCACAGCAAGTGTGGCAACCCAAGAAACTGGCCAAACTGAAACACGAAGAGAGAGAGCTGAGAAGGGTGAAGAGATATTTGTTGATTGGCTCCGTAGTCCGCGACTCTGTATACCGTGATGAGTTGTATGTAATATGTGTGTAAGTGTATGTATGCGTAAGAAACTTAAGAAAACAAGGTCATTTTGGTAACTGTGATGAGTTGCTCCTTAAACTTAGGTTCAAAAGTCATATGCTTAACTTAACATCACACACTGTTTTTCCAAACCAAAAATATACACATGTCTTGTATTGTATGTCTGTCAAAGTGTGTGCTTCACAGTTCACGCTGTAAAAAATGTCAACAAAATTGTGCATATTTGATGGCTTTTTGTCTCCACCAGTGTAACCTACTAATTTACCATTTATTTTCTATCAGCAGAGGGGGGAAATAAAAATGAAACATAATCAACCCTTTATTTAGAAGATTATGAACTATTTATGGGATTAAGATTTTTTATTTTTTATTTTCCTTTTCATTTTTTGGCTAGGAAAGCAACGAATTTTTGATTGTTTGAAATGAAATTGTGATAGAATGAGTTGAAAATTAATCAAATATTCCTAAATTACATTGCTTCTCAGATATTAGCTAGCTTCGAGGATTGAGAGGTTTATAATTGTTGAGAAGATTTCAAATAAAAAAGATCAAGTAACCAAAAGATGAATGGTTAAAACATTGGATTTGAAGATGAATATTATTGTGGTTTAGTGAGCTAACATTTTGCTAGTATTTGTTCTTTTGTTTACGTTTTAGTAAGATCATAGAAAGAAAGAGAGGTGGTCTTCTAACCAACCTTATCTACTCAACTAAATTTGCTAAGCCATATCCCTAATTCTATGCCTTGAAGTTCAACTTTGTTTTCAACAGCCACTTTTTTTTTTTCAAAGCCTTTAGACTTCTATGATACGAGGATAGAACTATTTCGTTATTCCTAACAAATAACACTATGACACGTATGATAAATTTCCATATGACATAGCATTATTGGTCGAAACAGCAAAACAGTTCTATTCCGATTGCAACTAAGTATTTCTACAAAGAGTTAGAGCCAAAGAGAAGCCCGTAGAAAAAGGATAACAACGGCTCCCAATAGATAGGGACCATCTTTAAAGAGCACTACTTTACCATTTAAGGTATAGTACCCCCATATACTTCTTTTTGTGAAGCTTCTGTGAACTAAGATGATGACACTGAATTGGCCGACAAAATTGGATCAAAGCTGTGATGTATCTTTCCAAATGACTCAGAATAAAAGCAAATTTATATTCTTATTTGAAATTGCAATAATCTGTATATATGTATTTAATAGATTTTTTTTTAAAAAAAATTTGAATTTTTATTCGTATAAATTTTTGTTGGACATGAACTCTTACTTAGACTATTGCTTTACATATTTTTCATTTTAAAATGAACTAGTTTGTGTTTTGAAACTTTGTCTTAAATAAAGGCCATTTATTCCAAGAAGTGAAGAAGATCATACTTTTCTTGATTCTGAACCGAAATAACTTGTCCTGCATAAAGCCAACCAACAAAAAAGAAAATACCAAAATTGATGGGATATATTAATGGATGACAGCCAGCTGCATCTACGGCAGTCCTTTTAGTTCAATTTTGTCCAAAATCTGGATAAGAACCCACGCTTTACATTAAAATAAAGAAGATGGCAATAATAATCGTCCTTAATTATGTTTTTTCTCTAGTATTTTCTAAAGGGAGTTGAAGTTATATCTGTCTTTTGACTTTCTTGCTTAACCATTTGTTTTCTGCACCATATGGAAAGGGCTCAAGGTAAACTATATGCACAAAGCATGTGTCTTGAAATATACACATTGATTAAAATTACACAAACTCCCACCTTGAATGAAATTGGGGTGCTTCATTCTCAAAAACATGCAAAAGTTTCGAGTTTACTTGATACACGTAATTTGTAATTTAATAATTGCACGTATTTAGAATTTATCCGAGAGGGTCATAGAGGCTTTCCTTCCTTGCTACCCCAAAAATTGGGTACTTCATTGAAAGTTCGTAGTATCACATGCTTCCAAATTCTACACAAAAGGATTGACTTGCTAACAACAAAAATCCATAATATCATGCTTCCCACAAAATTTTGAACATTTGTTGCATGTGTGGGTCTTGGAAGAAAACAAATAAACGCGTGGGCAGATAAAGTGGTCCAAGAGAGAACCCCCTACCCCTCCAGTACACGGACAACAACAACCACAGTATGCAGCAGAGCATGGTTTCTTCCTTCTATTTCAAGCCTGTATGTCTTTCAAGCCATGCAATTATTGGAAGAGTGGGTGATTTTAGGACCTTTTTTGAAGTGTTAGTTATGACCCCTTTGAGTTTTCTTCAAAATATTTTGACTAAATAAATATATGAGGGTTTTCAGAATTCATAGTTAAGCAACCTTTCGTCTTTATTGAACAAAGTCATTCCTAAACACTTTAAGAAGAAATGTAACTCCCAAGCAACATATCTGAAGCAACAGTATAAGTGCAATTTCAGTTTCATGAGAAAGTACAATATTCAGAGACTTCAAAGACATTCTTGGGCCTAGCAATAACAGATAATCTGCTTATGTACAAGTTTACTAATTACTTATGCTACGCTTCCAGAGTGTTTATCTGGATTATATAATCAAATCTTGAGTAATTCTTTTGTCACTTGTCAGAAAATTGGATTAGTTATATGTTGTCCAACTTGTTTTGAAACATTGTGACTTCAACAGTTTGAAGGAAAGAAAGGAAGAATGTAGGGCCACAATGTGAAGTTGCAAACCTGCAACTCGTTCAACCACCAAATCCAATAGTGTTTTCATCTTTAGATTCACCATCATCTTCTCCATTTTGATCTTGTCTGCATACAAGGATGAAAGAGAACACAAGATCATGATGAGTAGATTATGAATCTCTATGTTACCACAGAGAGGATTTTATCCCCATTCTCGAAATCAGAAAACAAAAAGTATTTTTCTGAAGTTTGTTATCAGTGGTCACATATGCAAACTACATGCCACACTCATTTGAAAGCTGGATGGATCAATGATGTCAAATACGAAATTCAATTCAGTTGTACTGGAGATGCTTTTTGTGTAACAAAAAGAAGAGGAAAAAAAAAATCAAAATTTACTGAACTGATTATATCTTAGAAGAGGCAGCCCTTGGATACACACTTTGTTGACTTCTTTTCTACTTCTACTCCGGCAAAGCCATCCCTTTATTGAGCCAACTAAATCCAGGTTTCTTGAGGACCTTCCTCTGCTTCATCACTTTCCTTACTTTCTCAACCTCTTCCCATTCTCCATCAGCAGCATAGATATTTGAAAGTGTCACAAAACCTCCAGGTCTCTTTAACTCCATTTTTAGAATAGCTTCAGCCATCATCTTTGCAAGATCTCTTCTTCCATGGACTTTACACCCGTTGAAAAAGGCGCCAACAATGGATTCAGTGACCTCAACAGGCATTTCACTGACCAATTCGTAAGCTTCTACCATCTTCCCTGACCGGCACAAGAGATCAACAACACAAGCGTAATGTTCTTTACTTGCCTCAACTCCATGACTCCCTTTCATGGACCTGAAAATCTTTAAGCCTTTTTCCACATAACCACTATGGCTGCATGCAGAAAGTACACATGTCAAAGTTACTTCATTTGCCTGCACTCCTCCCTCTTGCATTCTTTCAAAAAGCTCTATGGAGGAATCAACCATACCATACTTGCCATAACATCCAATCAATGCGTTCCATGATGCAACGTGGTTTACAGGAATCCGGTCAAATACACTTCGAGCTTTTTTCACACTGCCACATTTCGAGTACATATCAATAAGAGCACTAGCAACAAAGACATTTATGTCAAATCCTATCCTATAGATCAATCCATGAATTTCTCTCCCTCTTTGAATTGAACCAATCAACCCACAAGCTGGGAGCAACCCTGTGATTGTCACGAGGTTCGGTTTAGTTCCAGACAGCAACATGACACGGAACAGTTTAAATGCTTCACCAGCATGCTGGCTTTGGGAAAAACCAGCAATTATTGCATTCCAAGTAACCAAATCTGGAACCAGTCCTTCTTCAGTCATTCTAGAGAGAAGTGCACATGCTCGCTTTGTATCTCCACACCGAGCAAACCCAGCTATCATTGCATTCCATGTGAAATAATTTGGTTCCAATCCATCCAACTTCATCCTCTCGAACAAAAGAAGGGCTTGATCAGTCTTTGCTACATTAAAATACCCGCATATCATTGATGTCCAAGAAGCAACATCTCTGTCGAGTATTCTGTCAAACACACGGTGAGCATGACATACACTTCCACATTTACAATACATATCTATCAAGGCATTTGCCAAAGAGACATCCTTGGCAAAACCAAGTTTATTTACCACAGCATGAACTTCTTTTCCCTTATTCAAATCCATCAAGCCAACACAGACTTTAAGCATGACTGGAAACGTGAACTTATTGCCAATAACTCCCAATTCTTGCATCAAATAAATGTACCCAATTGCTTCATCATAATGCCCATTAAAGGCAGAGGCCAACACCATCCAATTTAATGCAAAAACATTTGGCTTGGGAATTTTATCAAACACAAGCTTTGCAGAACCCATATCCCCACAACTAGCATACGTCCCAACAAGCTTTGAGCTCAAAGATAACAAGTTCATGTCAACCCGACTTGTTAACAACACTGCATGAACTTGCTTTCCTTGTCTCAGAGCCTTCGCTTTCAGGCATTTTTGCAAGCACAAAGCCAAATGGTCTGGAGACAACTTGAACAACGAAAAAGGTGCCATTTTCATGACTTGAAAATGTACTCCATAAATGGCATGGATGATTCAAACCCATAACTGTTTCATGGCCTCCCTCTGTATATGAAATTTTGAATCTTGAAAATTGACAGCAGGGATGGCCTATCCAGCTCAGGGGTACGGTATAACTTATGGAAAAGCAAGTTTCTGCATTTAAATAAGGGACCGGACCTCATTTTCATTCAACTTCACCTATCAGTCGCAGCAGCACAAGTGCTTGACCTTGGCAGACATGTCTCAACAGGTACTGCTATGTCTTCTCTCTCTCTCAT